CACACACTCCTCTCTGGTGGAATCCCTTCAGTAACGAGAGGCACTTCATGGTCTGGATGTCCCACACATGGACGGCTGGATCTCGCCCCACCTGCACCACACACATTACAGATTCTGTTAAACCGACAAACCTGAGTAAAGATGAATAACTGTTCCTGAGCCAATTCATTCTCGTTTCTATCAACATGTGCTTGAGTGTGTGTGTGTGTGTGTGTGTGTGTGTGTGTGTGCGCACCTGTCCTGTGGCAGCGTAGTCCTTCAGCGGGTGGATGCTGAGGCTAAGGATGTCGTCGTCGTGGCCGAGGTAGAAGCGCTGGCTGTGCAGCTGCCGGTTGTAGACCACGCCCACCGCCGCCACATGATACAGCACCTCCGCACCCTGAGTGTAGAACAAGTTGTTCCTGCAGTCGTAACCACGGTACCTGCACGAGAGAGAGAGAGAGACATGTTGTCCGTCTTAAAACCGTGTGCTGCTACAGCCTCTACGTTTATATGAGAGCTCTCATGAGATCTCCGTCTTTTATGTCAAAGTGATTTATTGAGACACGACACCGACGTGTTACTGTCATCACGTTTCTACAGAGACACAAACAAACCGATGTTACCCATGAACAAACTGCAGCCGGAGGCCCTGGTCCGGTCCTCGCTGCCTCTTCAAAAATCCAACCTGCTGCTTCTTCTCTCTGCTCTGCTGCTGCAACTGAGGCAGGTCCTCCTTATAAACCTGCACACACACACACACACACACACACAACCATGACAAAGAACATGGAAATGACTACGTTTTCATAGCTTAACATAACATGTGCCATCGACATGTGGTAAAATGTCCACACGTTTCTCTGCTTCTCTTCTCTGAACACTCTGCAGCATTTCGCCTGCTCATTGTTCATGCAAATTATTCTGCTGAGAGTGAGTCGGCGTGTTTCAGTCGTCTGAGAGTTTCACAGAGAGACTTTCGCTCCCAGGAGGTTTAGGATTGGCAGCGCTCCACTTACAGAACTGAATATTTCTGGAGCATCGGGGTGGATCAATGCCGTCAGCCACAGACCATGTAACTGGGACTGGCATCTTAACACCCTGGATTTTTTTCAACAAATATTTTCTCTCATCCTCTATATGAAAAAAATAAAATAGATTTTCTTATTCTCCCTGCTGTGTGAGTCAAACACTGGAGGCTGAAGAAACACCTATTTTTATCATTTCAGGTTAGAAGGAATACTTGGATCCTTTACTTACGATTGCTACCCAGCGACTGTGAGCCTCCACAGACCAGCTCTGTTCCCGACATATTACATTCACATTAATGTGCAGCCACCGTGACCGTGACCTCCTAAATCCACACAGTTCATCTCCAGGTCCAGGTGAACGTTTGCAACGAATTTTACGAAATTTCCTCAAGGAGATTTTTGAGATATGATGTTCACAAGAATGGGACGGACGAACAAGAGGAAAACATAACGACTCCAGCCTCTGAGTGAGGGGCGCGGAGGAGTAAACACAGAAAGAGGGAATGAAAGATGGAGAGAATGTCAGAAGATACAAAGACAAACAGACGAGAGGAGGAAACTGAAGAGACGGAAACAAGAGGAAAGGATGGAGTGAGTGGAGGGAAGAAAACGAGGACGTGAACATGCAATAACAAGAGTAAACAAATCCATGTTCTCTTGCTTTTTCAATTAAACTCAAACACACACACACACACACACACTTTGAGCTCTATCTCCAAACAGCACATTGTGGAGACACAGCCAGACTGACTGTAGTCACAGGGACTGGAGCCAGGCAGTGGCTGGCGCTGGAGATAAGGCGTGTTTCAAAATCACCATGGCAACCACAAAGAGCCCTGCTGCTCTCAGGCTGATGGGAATAAAAACGAGGAGCTAATATGAAGCAGCCTCCGTTAAAAAAAATAAATCTAAAACACTCTGCAGTAAAAACATCCTGTAAAAACCTTTTCGGAGAAGTGGAGGGTTTGGTGCCTTGCTCAGAGGCTACAGATCACCAGGACAACAAACCAGCAGGTCGTACCTGTCGGTCATAGTGGATCTGAGTTTCCTGCTCGATGTCGGAGTCGAGCTCTGGGACGTCCGAGACGTCGCTGTCGGACTCCTCGCTGTTGGAGTCTCCATGACTGTCTGTAGAGGACGGGCAAGTTTAGTTTAACTAACGTAAATTAAATAAACTATAATTATAAAAACTATAAACTGAAAAACCTACCTTGTGTGCTGACGTCCAGTCCTTCGTTCATCACAGACTCGGGCAGAAACCTCCACTGGAAGAGGGCGTGGTCGGCCCCACCTGTGGTCAGCACCCACTGCAGGTCATGTGACCAGCGGACGTTGGTCACGTGGGCAGAGTGGCCGATGTACTTCTTGAATTTGGCTCCTTGGAGAAAAAGACGAGTCACATTTAACAACAAAGCCGATGAAAAGAGAGAGAAAGAGAAAGAGAAGCCCGACACCTTTCTTCAGACAGGGGAAGCGGTAGAGCTTAACAAGGCCGAGGTCGTCTCCGGCGACCAGCACGGCAGCGGAGTGATTGGCATCCACGGCGTTGATCTGGGTTACATCTGAGTATTTGGTCCAGATGCCACAGACCTCTGAGCCCAGGACGCCACTCCACGATGCCCAGCGTTGACCTTTGACCTCCTCCTTACTGACGACCGGCTTCCCCACTGCCGGAGAGAGAGGAGAGAGAGAGGAGGGAGAGAGAGAGGAGAGAGAGAGAGAGGAGAGGAGAGGAGAGAGAGGAGAAAGAGAGGAGAGGAGAGAGAGCGTGGAGAGAGAGAGGAGAGAGAG